TCTCTCCATTTACTGCAGTCTATTTTATCCTGTAATCGACCTGATCTTCTCACTATCTGGATCTCTGTTCCTACATGTTTGCCTTCTTTTACATTAAACTTGTTTTCATCATAGACTGATCTCCCAGATTCTCTTTGTTTTTTCTTAATAGTTTTCTTCTGTTGTCAACTCTTCCTTCTGTTGATTTAATTCTGGGAGCTGTTGCCACGTATGTCAATCTCTGGTTGTTGTGTGTTCATGTTGGTTCTCAGTCCACAGAACTTCCTTTAGGATGTTTTGTAGCGCAGGGTTGGTTTGGCAAAATCCCTTAGTTTCTGTTTACCTTGGAATGTTTTGATTACACCATCATATTTGATTGATAACTTTGCTGGATAAAGAATTTTTGGTTGGCATTTTTTGTCTTTCAGGGTTTTATACATGTTTCCCCATTGCCTTCTTGCTTGCATGGTTTCTGCTAAGAGATCTGAGCTTTATCTGACTTGCTTGTCTTTTTATGTGACACTTCTGTTTTCCCTGGTGGCTTTCAGAAGTGTCTCCTTATCTTTGATTTTGGGGATCTTGACTATGGTATGTCTTTATTTTCTTTTGGGGTCTACCCTTCCTGGAGTTCGTTGAGCTTTTTGGTTGTTTATCTTTCCACGCTTCAATATGTTAGAGAAATTTTCTTCCTGTAGTTCGTCAACTATTTCCTCTGTGGACTTGTGGGATTCTTCTTGTTCTGGAATGCTGATAATTCTTAAGTTATTCCTCTTCATGTTGTCCAACATGAATCTTACACCATCTTCAGAATTTTTTATCCTTTTTTGTGTTTGTTCTTCTGTCTTAGTGGTATTCAGAGATTTGTCTTCCAGCTCACTGGTTCTGCTTTCCATCTCATCTATTCTACTCCTTTGCCCTTTCAGAGTGTTCTCTATTTCTGTTATTTTGTTATTGATTGTCTGGACCTCTTTCTGTAGGTCTTGAATGGTTTCCAATGCTGTATCTATCTTATTTGATTGTTCCTGTTGCACTTTCCTGGCTTCTTCCTTATGTTTCTCAACTCCATTGTAAAGTGTTTTGAAACATTTTGTGATCATTAATCTGAATTCCATCTCAGGCATTTCCAAGGCCTGCCCTCCTTCCAGAATGGAGTCCAGGTCTACTTCTAGGTCATTTGTCTCAGACACTTTATCTTGTTTCTGGATATGTGCTGATATGGTCTTCTGCTTTTGCTTCTTCGACAAGTTGAATCTTTATCTGTGTCCTTTATACTTAATTGAGCATGTGTTTTGGTATTTTTTATGCTTTCTGATTGCTTCCAGGAAGGTATGATCAGGATGTGGGCTTCCCTTTTCACTCTTCTCATTGTTTAACTCAGAGTAACTTTCACAGGTGTTGTCTGTTTCCCAGCTATAGGGCAGTTGGTATTGGTTCTTGCCTGGGTTTTGGTGTTTTATAGGGTGTGATTGTAGGTTGGCTGTATGGTAGCAGTTGCTGACTCTTCTTGTGTAATATAGGGAGACAAAGAGTCCTTCAAAGCAAGAATGGGGAGCATATACCAGCAAAACAATACCAGCCAAAAACAACAACAACAACAACAAAAAAGACTAAAAAACAGTAACAACAAAAAGAAGACTGATGCTGTAGTCTCTATTCACAGAAAAGAGAGAGGAGTGAGAGAAGAAGAGCGATGAAAAAATAAGTGAAAGAAAAAAAAATTAAAAAAAAAAAAACTTTAGCTTAATATGAGGTCTCTTTCCCTCCTTACAGCACTCTCCTTCTCTTTCCTATGTTAAAAATCACAGGAACAAAAAGCAAACAAGAAAAGTTCAAGGCCTGCTCTTGGGCTGAGTATCAGTCTGCTGCTTGGTTTTAAGTGTGTACTGTCTCTTTAAATTTTGAGGAGATCTATCCATGCGTAGTAGAACCCTCCGAGGGTGGGGCTGGAGTATCCTTCAGCTCAGGCACCCCTATAGTCACCAGAATGGAGGTACGCACACAGCAAGGGACCAACGAAAAGATACCCCCAAAAAAAGGATGTCCACACCTCTATCTCTGCGGCTCTGTCAGGTGTCCGTGGCTGCTCTGATCCTTTACCCGCTTGGCCCCACACAAAATGGCGGCTCCTGGAGCAGCTGAGCGTCCAGAACCATGAAGCAATGCATTTCTTGCTTCTGCCACAAACTCCCCAGCTGTAAGTCTTCCAACCTTCTAAATATTCCTTTATATGTGGTTCAGAGTACCAGGACCATTCCCTGAGCCTTTTTGGTCCTTTATTCTGTTTTGTTCTCGGCAGAGCTCGCCACTACACTTCCACCTGATCTGCCATCTTTTTCCGGAAGTCCTGTATCTGTCTTATTTGATTGTTCCTGTAGCACTTTCCTGACTCCTTCCTTATTTTTCTCAACTCCATTGTATAGTGTTTTGATATATTTTATAATCATTTTTCTGAATTCCTTCTCAGGCATTTCCAAAGCCTGCCCATCTTCCAGTATGGAGTGTGGGTCTACTTCCAGCTCATTTGTCTCAGTCTCTTTATCTCGTTTCTGGACTTATACAGATATGGTCATCTGCTTCTGTTTTTTGGGCATCTCCAGGGGTTAAACAATTTTAATTGTTTACATATTCTATAATGACTTAATGTGAGGGATCGTTGGTAGTTGTGGTGATTGTGGTAGTACGAAAGAAAATAGAAAAGTATTTGTCTTTGAAATGGTTGAGTTTTAGTCGTTGTAGAAAGTGAGGGTCCCTTGTGAGAATAAACATAATATTTTCAAGTTGTTGTTAAGTACCAGTGAGTCAGTTCTGACTCATAGCTTTCATGTATATGTTTCCCAAGGAGTGGCTAGTGGGTTTGAACCAACTACTTTGCATGTAGCAGTCCAGTGCTTTTCCTACAACAAGTACCATATCAGGACTCCTATAATAACCTTAAAAAAATCTTAATCCTCCATCAATTTTTGTCACTGGGGAATGTCAGGTTGATTGAGGGGGGGGCGGTACGCTCGATTCAATATTGATTTAAGTGCAGGTTTCAAATTTGACCATGATTTCACATCCCTCAACTTAAGTATTTGACATTTGATGCTAGGATTGATTTTGATTAAGGAGGCCTGAGAATTTTAAGTTGTTCCGTTTGTGAAATTTCACTCTGTTGGATGTTGGGTAGGTGGAAAGTTTGTCACATGTTTCTTAAAACTTACTGAGTTTTGAAATGTGACATAATTATGACTTACTATTTTTCTTCTTTCAGCATTATCTGCATACCAGAGATACTACAGTTTACAATCTGACTACTGGAAGGTTAGTTCACATTTGCATGCCTATTTGTTTGGTTTTTTTGATCATATTATTTCTGGTTATAATCATAATGAATTGTTCCTTTGCTTCTTATGTTAAATATTTAAAATATTCTAGGGTTAAAGGCTTGAAAAAAGGGAAAGTTATGTTTTATTTATGCTATCTTATATGAACCATTTGCTTGCTTAAAAGAAATAGATTTCTTCCAATAATTTCTGTTGGCCATGGATGATCTTAAAGTGTGATAACTTAAAAGTAAGTGAAACGAGTGATTTCTTATTTTATTGTTTTAAGTTGGTACCTAGAAGTAAAAGAATTATTGTGGTCAGTTGAAAGTATGTCAGTGTGACAAGGGAAGGTGTAATGGTACCATTGTGATGAAGTGCTTGTTGGTACTTTCTGTCTATATTTGGAGCTTTGAGGAGTTTAAACTAACCATTTTTTAAAAAGTCCTATCTAGATGAAGAACTATGCATAGCAGTGGGTAATCCGCTTTCTCATCTTAGTTTAAGCCATGCACTAAGTTATCCTGGGAAGATCAATCTTTTACATGATGTTTACTTTTCAGTATAAGCTTATAGGCCAGTGGGTTTTCTGTATCTGAATTGCTATTTCAGACAAAAAAAAAAATTTTTTTTTTAAATGTTGGCTAGTTTATGTTTATTGATTTGTAGGAGTTTATGTAATTAGATGCTTTTAAAATACATTTTCAGAGTTGTATGTTGTTACGTGCTGTCGAGTCGATTCCAACCCTTAGCGAACCCTGTATAGGGTTTCCAAGGAGCGGCTGTTGAGCTTGAACCACTGACCTTGAGGTTCAAATCTACTTAGCAGTCTAGTGTATTAGCCCACAGCACCATACCAGATCTCCATGTATATAATACATACATGCATACGTACATATATTGGCACTGTAGGATAAACAGTTTACTACCAACCACAGGTTGGTGGTTCAAACCCACTGCCACTCCTTGGAAACCCTATACAGGGTCGTTATGAATCAGAATCGCCTCAGCGACGCTTAATAACAACTATACTAGTTAAGTCCTAGTGAGATACTGTCGTAGGTTAGGTTCCCTAGAGAAGCAAAACCAGTGAAACATATATGTGTGTGTGTGTGTATATATATATATATATATATATACACACACACACACACACACAGAGAGAGAGAGAGAGAGAGAGAGAGAGAGAGAGAGAGAGCAAGCCTGGTGTGGCACTGTGGGTTAATGTGCCAGACTGCAAAGCCGTTTGAACTGCAAGGTCGGCATTTCAAGCTTACCAGCCACTCCTCAGAAACCCTATACAGGGTCGCTATGGGTTGGAACCGACTCGACAGCACGGATTATGAATCGAACTGCGAACTGCAAGGTCAGCAGTTCGAAACTACCAGCTGTTCCGCGGGGGAAAGATGAGGCGTTCTGCTCCCGTAAAGATTCATAGCCTCAGAAACCCTGTACAGGGTCACTATGAGTCGGAACCGACTTCGTGGCAAATAACAATAACAATAACAATATATATATATATAAAATGATGATAAGTTTATATCAGGGAAATCACTCACAATTGTAATGGTGGAAGAATCCCAGGCAGATACTAAAGCAGGTTACTGACTCAAATCCAGAGAAGCAGAGGTTGAAGGATGATGAGACAGATGCAAGATCCAGACCCAGCAGAAAGCCTGTAAGCTTTGCCTGAATGTCCATTATATTGGAAGCAGACCATACCCCCTAGGAAACATCCTTTCAATTGCTTGCTACTTATAGCCAATCATGATAGACTTAAGTACACTCTATTAGCTGTCACCATGGGGATAAACAAATCTTACCTGCCAAACAACTGGGAATCCTGGTCCAGTCAAGTTGACACATAACCTTAACTATCACAGGCACTATAATAAAAGCAGTGGACTACTAACCATAAGGTCAGTGATTCAAATCCACAAGCTTCTTCTCAAATGCCATGTTCACAAGGATGCAATGAGTTGGAACTGACTTGATGACGCTTAATAACAACAGTGCCTGCCTGGTAGGTCTGGAGCCCAGCCCACCTGTATCCAGCCATCAAGGTGGTGTAGCCAGCACCCACTCAAACTGGTGCTGCTTCCAAATTCCTGGCAGCAGGGTTTGTGCTGGGGTGGACAAGGGTGGGGGCTATCCACACCACTGGTCATAAGGGTAATTGTGGGAACAAGAAGAAATTTCACCTTTCCTACTGCTAGTTCCAGTGTGAATCAGCTCTTCTAGGCCATGATCTGTTTCCAAAGCTGCTCTAGCAAAAGTTCAAGATGGCTGTGATGTGTCTGGCCAGCAGACTGTTTACTAGTCAGTCTTCTTTCACTGCCCCTTTTCAGCTTCTCCTCCAGTTAAGTATTTAGTCCACTTCTCCAGCTTTTCTTATAGAGTTCTGAATTCCAGGATTATCATCTATGTGTCATTTGGTCTCCCATATCTTAGTCTGTATAGTATGTCTGCCATCCTGCCAGAAATCTTTAGCTTCTATTTTTTATTTTTTTTAGCTTCTATTTTTAAGATTAAAGTTCATCCATGTGTTAATGCATGGGTTAGTTTTTCCTTTTTATTACCCAACAATATTGCATTGTGTAGATATGACACAGTTTATTCATTCATTATTTGATAGACATTTGTTTTCACTTTTTGACTATTGTGAATAATGTTGTTACGAACTTTTATGTGAAAGTTTTAAAGTAAATACACATTTTCATTTCTCTTAGGTAGATAGATATCTAGGAGTGGAATTGTTGGGCCATAGACTAAATAAGCCTGGTGTGGTGCTGTCATATGTGTATGTAGTGTGAAGAACAGCTATTTTTGTATGTTTTTAATATGGAAATCCATCCCCAACACAATATACTTTTTTAAAATTCAACTTTTCTTCCATTAAGTGGTGTTTTCTCAAATGTATGCTAAGTAATTATATATAAATTTCTCGTTGTGCATTTTCTGGCATATTTAATTAGTCTGTTCACAAACTTATAGAAGGTGCCCTGGTGATACAATGGTTAAGTGCTCGTCTGTTAAATGAAAGGTCAACTGTTTAAACAAATAAGCTGCTTCATGATAGAAAGATAAGGTAGTCTACTTCCATAAAGATTACAACCTGGGAAGCTTTTGAGCAATTCTCCTCTTGTTGCTATGAGGCAGAATCAAACTAACGGCAGTGGATTTGTGTTACTTATAGAAGAATTGTAAATGTTTTTATATTTGGTAAGGCCAAGTCATTGCAGTACTCTTGTTTTTAGGATTTACCTGACTCTCGTTAGTTTATTGGTTATTAAATAAACTTTATAATGAAAACCCACTAAACCCAAACTCACTGCCATTGAGTTGGATATTCGAATTCATAGAAACTTTATATACGGTTTCTGAGACTTAATCTGTACAGAAGTAGATAGTGTTCTCTTTCTCTCATCGAGCAACTGGTAGGTTTGAACTGCTGATCTTATTGTTAGCAGTCCATTGCTTAATTGTACAGTCTGCTGAATTTTGATTGAATATTGATACTATTGAGTTGTGTCACCTCCTACCACAATCAAGATATAGAACTTGCCCATCATCTTAAATATTACCTTTGGCCCTTTCTTAATGATTGACACTTCTAACTCCTGGTCCCAAAGTATTACTCTAGTTTTGCCTTTTTGAGAATGCCACAAAACTGGGCATAAATAGCAAGTATTCTTGGGGTTTTGATACTATTTAGTATACTGTTTCCAAGATTCAACCATGTTGTTGCATGTATCAGTATTATACTTCTTTTAATTATTAAAGCAGTATTTTATAGAAGGACTCTTGATGGGGCACCGTAGGATCAGCACTGGACTGCAAACCACAAGGTCGGTAGTTCACACCCGCCAGCTGCTCCTTGGAAACTCTATACAAGATCTCTATGAGTTGGGACTGACTTGCTGGAACTCTACAACAATAACAATTTTATAGAACTAATATGCTGCAGTTAACTTTTCCATTAATTGGGTATTTTCCAGTTTTTTTGTTATAAATCAAGTACTGTGAACCTTATTTTTCTTTGTTGACACAGGTTTTCATTTATTTTGGTATACCTAAGATTTGAAGGAGCTCTGGTAGTGTAGTGGTTACGAATCCGGCTGCGAACCTCAAGGTCAGCATTTCGAAACTACCAGCTGTTCCATGGGAGAAAGATGAGGTTTTCTGCTCCCGTAAATATTTACAGCCTCGGAAACCCTGTGCAGGGTTGCTATGAGTCGGAACTGACTCCAAGGCACATAGCCACTGCCACCACCAAGATCTGGGAATGATGGGTTGCACTGCAAGTGTAGTTTGAACTGCTTCACTGTTTTCCAAAGTGACTGTGCTATTTACTATTCTAACATGCAGTCTGTGAGATATCCGGTGTTCCACATCTGTGCTAATTTTCAGTATTGTCAGTCTTTATAACTTGAGCTGTTCTAGAAGATACATAATTGTTAAGTGCCATCAGGTTGGTTCCGATTCATAGTGATCCTGTATAGAATTTCCAAGGAGTGATGTGAATTTGAACCACCAACCTTGTGGTTCAAACCGACCGTGCAGTCCAGTGCTTTATCCCACAGAAGCCACACCTCGTTATAATTTTGCATTTTGTGAAAAAGTGATGTTGAGCATATTGTATGTGTTGGTTTTTGTATACCTTTTTTGGTGTGAATTATCTGTTTTAATTTGTTGTCCATTTTTGTTTCCAGTGCTAATTCTTTCTTACTTGATTGTTCCTGTAGTGCTTTCTTGACTTCTTATTTTTCTCAACCCCTCTGTGGAGCATTTGGATGTACCTCATGTCATTCTCCTGAATTCCTTCTCAGGCCTGCCTTCCTTCCAGTGAGAAGTCTAGGTCTATCTGCAGCTCGTTCGTTTCACAGTTATTCTATCTTGTTTCTGGACATGTGCTGAAATCTTCAACTGTCTCTTGGGCATTTTCAATAATTAGATGTGCTTTCAATAATTAGATGAATGTATGTTGATGTATTGTTA